TTTAAGATGTTTTTCAGGAATCTTTTTGTAAATTTAAAATATAACAAATTCTTAAAAAATGTTATGAGATATAAAAATTTTGTTCACCAGATACATGATCCTTTCTCGTCTTGCAATTTTAAAGAGAAAAACTTTATTTTTAATTTCTCTATGTGTATTCATGTTATAAACGTATTTCTACCTTTATTTATTTTATAATGTATTTTTTTTTCCTGATATATAGCACCCGGAACATACAGCCCAGAGAAGGTGAATTTGGAAAAGGGCCCGCAGTACAGTTTAACTGGCAAAAGCCAAATAGAGAAATGCAATGGTACACCAGGTACATGAAGATTCATGCATCTGTTTTATGAACTTCGATTTTTTCTGAGAAAAATACAACAAGGATTTTTCTTTAACAGCGCCAGGTGCGTATTGTCCCGAGAAAGTAAAATTGGACTCATCACCAAAGTTCAGTTTTGGATTAAAGCTTGCTGTGGAGAAACCGAATGATACACCAGGTACTACATAATAAATTGCTTATTACACGCTTACAAAATTAGTTTTACCATCAATTAATACAATGGTTAATACAATTATCACATAAATCTATTTTTAGCACCAGGTACTTATAGCCCAGAAAAAGTGAATTTAGACAAAGGTCCGCAGTACAGTTTGAGTGGTAAAGGATCCGCTGAAAAACCTTTAGATACGCCAGGTATATAAAAATTATAAGAACTGTCAAAATAAGTTGTATATATAGATGTAAAAGTACATTATGATTTCCAGCGCCTGGAACGTATTCTCCGGAAAAAGTAAGATTAGATAATACACCGCAATATAGTTTCGGAATTAGACATACCCTGGATAAACTCAGTGATACACCAGGTAAGTAAGATTCTATTAGTACAGAAGAAGATTCTTATTGTGTGTGTGTTTACTTTTATTTCAGCACCTGGAACTTACAGTCCAGAGAAAGTAAACTTAGATAAAGGGCCACAATATAGTTTAGCTGGCAAAGGGCCTGCAGAGAAATTTATTGATACTCCAGGTATATAAAATATATAATTTTGCTCATAAAATATATAATTTTTTAAATATATTAATATATCAACAAATATTTAGCGCCGAGTGCGTATTCACCTGAGAAGATAAAATTGGATACTACGCCAAAATACAGTTTTGGACTTAAAACTCCTCTAGATAAACTCTAGATAAACTCAGCGATACATCAGATATAATTAATAATTAATTAATTGCTTATGTTATTTATTATTTTTATATTTTTATATTTTGTTATATGGTATCTGTATGCAGCGCCTGGAACTTATAGCCCAGAGAAGGTAAATTTGGACAAAGGACCGCAATACAGTTTAACTGGCAAAGGATCCATTTCGAAAACTAATGATATTCCTGGTACGTTTTAGACATTTTTTAAAAATGCGATTATAATATCCTTTATCGTTTATCTTTGTCATAGCACCTGGCACATACAGCCCTGAAAAAGTAAATTTGGACAAAGGACCGCAGTATAGTTTAGCCGGAAAAGGAATGCCGGAAAAATTAAACGACAATCCAGGTGAATAACACGCTACCATGACAAACTTTTATCGAAACACACATTTCTTCGACATATTAACATACAAAAAAAAAAGAATTTAATGAACAATAATAGATAATATTAATTTCTCTGACTGGCTTGCCTATAGGCCCTGCTGATTATAAACCAGAGAAAGCTCTAAATCTGGAACATAAACCTTATTACAGTTTTGGTGATAGAAAAACTTCGGATAAACCTAAAGATACACCAGGTAACGGTGTGGATTAACCCGCTGTAGATTAACATTGCACTCTTAGCGTTTTCTACATAAATGGGCGATATGAAAAAAAAAAAATAATAAAATAATAAACAATTTGATTTTTTAAATTGCTTTTGGTAGGTCCAGCCGATTATACTCCAGAGAAAATTTTAAGTCTGGAACATAAACCATATTTCAGTTTTGGTAATAGAAAACCCCTTCATAAATCCCGCGATACACCAGATAATGGTGTAAATTAACGAGAAACTATCTAATATAATCTAATAATCTAATATAAAGAGAGAATGTAATACACAGAACAAAAAACATTAATTTCTTTTTGCTTTGGTAGGCCCTGATAATACAATCCAGAAAAAATTCAACATTTGGAACATAAACCTTATTTTAGTTTCGGTAATAGAAAGCCTTTGTATAAGACTAACGATACACCAGGTAATCGGTGGAAATTAATAGAATGTTAATTACATTTTTTCTTACAAGGAAAAGTCGAAAAATGAGATTATTTTCAAAGGTTTACCTTTTCAGAATAAATTCAGGCAACAAACAAGGAATTGTTTATTACATGTCAGGATACTTCCTATGTATTGCCAAAGTTTCAATTTTTTAAATTTCCGAGTTTGGAACCTTTCCTTGTTAGATTTATCATAAAATGTTATATATGAATACAATATATTGTGCGATTAGGCATGCCATAGTCATATTAAAATGCTTCAAACTTTTTTCATTAACCATTTGTGAAAATAAACAATTGTACATAATATTATTAAGATTAATAATGTTTATTAAAAAGTAAAAAAATAAAATAAATATTATCGCTACGCTTCGATTTGTTAATGTTTTAATTCGGTCTTTATGCAGGACTATATTGTAATAAACAAGTATAATAAATGTGTAAACATCATATGTGTCATGTTTTTTAAATATATGTCGTAGTATTAGCGTAGTGCCTAGTAAACGGGATAAATGTAATAATTACAATTGATACTTTTTTAAAATATACAAAAACATTTTATAATTTATTTTGCAGCTCCCGGTACATACAGTCCTGAAAAAATAAACATGTCTAAGTCGCCGCAATATAGTTTTGGCATTAAAACTGAGATTTGTGAGAAAAACACTATACCAGGTGAGTTACATTAATTATTCATAATTGTTTCCTTTACATTAATATTATAATTTTATATTTTCCGATGAAAATTTTTCTTAAAATTCTTTATTTTTTAAAATTTCGATATAAATTTTATAACATTTTAGAAAATTTCTCTGATTTTTTTTAATATGAATTGAAACATTTTTTTAGAAATGATTAGAAAGTCTAAAGAGGTTTTTTTTTAGAATTCTTTATTCTAATTAAAATCCTTAAATTCTAATTCTTAATATATTATAAGATTTCTCATTACATAATTTCTGAAGAAAATTTATAAAATTTAAAGAAATTTTAAGATATTATTTTCATAAATTTAAAATATGAAAAATTCTGTAAAATATTAGGAGATATTATGAGAATTTTTTCATCCAGATTCTTATAATTTATTACACAAATTATTTTTTTAAATTAATCTATCAATGAATAATCTAGGTCCTGGCGAATACAATCCAGAAAAGACAATGCTTTTGTTGGAAAAAGCGTTGCAATTTACTTTCGGTCTTAAACCGCCCTTGAACAGATCAAACGATGTTCCAGGTAAATAATTAATCAATTCCATCTGGTAAATATGAAATTGCATGTTATATATAAAGCATGTTAGTATAGCCCTAATTTTATTCGCGTATATTGAGATGCATGGAATACAGAATAATCGCAATAATTAGTTTTACAATAGATAATTGGTGTATTTAATATCATTCTGCTTTTCATCAATAATTTGACGATTTTTATTCGTATAATTTATATTCTGTAAAATATTTAATGAGATGCAAATCTTTGTCAGAAATATAATTTCACGTGAAGATATGCTACGGATTATACTAAAAAAATGTAAAAAAAAAAAGAAAGAATACGACGTAAATGGTGGATAAGATTGTTAAATAAGGAAAGAATTATAAATTCTGAGGAGAAAAAAATAGATTGATCAAATTTCAGCACCCAATATCTATAACATTCCTTCTGCCCTCGGCGGAACTAAAGAAGGTAATAAGAAAGCAGCACCTGCCTATTCAATATCCGGTAGGCAAAAAGTCTTTACGGACGATCGTGTTCTCGTACCTGGACCAGGTGCATACGAGTGCATTAAACCAGATACAATCAGAATGAAAAGTCCAGCATATAGCATGAGTGCGCGTTTTTCTCTGCCCGACGATCACTCGCAGATCCCAGGACCTGGAGCACACTGCCCGGAAAAGGTACTGCATAGCTAAAGTAAAATCTATTGAAATGTAGTATAATATATATTTAATATAGTATAATAAGTATATATAATACATATATTTTTTAATAATTTTTTAATAAATATATATAATACATATATATTTACATTAAATATAATATGTGTGTGTGTATGTGTGTGTGTGTGTGTGTGTGTGTGTGTG